ACTTTGGGAGGCCGAGGCAGGAGGATCACTTTCGGCCAGGAGTTCAAAGACCAGCCTGGGCAACAAAGCAAGACCCATCCCTACAAAGAAATTTAAAAGTCAGGCCGGGCGCGGTGGCTCACGCCTGTAATCCCAGCACTTTGGGAGGCCGAGGCGGGTAGATCACGAGGTCAAGAGATCGAGACCATCCTAGTCAACATGGTGAAACCCTGTCTCTACTAAAAATACAAAAAATCAGCTGGGCGTGGTGGCGCATGCCTGTAATCCCAGCTACTCAGGAAGCTGAGGCAGGAGAATTGCTTGAACCCAGGAGGCAGAGGTTGCGGTGAGCTGAGATCATGCCATTGCACTCCAGCCTGTGTAATAAGAGCGAAACTCCGTCTCAAAAAAAAAAAAAAAGATAAAAATAAAAGTCATAGCTAGGCATGATGGTACACACCTGGAGTCCTAGCTACTCAGGAAGCAAAAGCTGATGCAGGAGGATCACTTGAGCCCAGGAGCATGAGGTTGCAGGTGAGGTGGTATTGTGCCAGTGCTCTCCAGCCTGGTGACATGGCAAGAACCGGTCTCATCAAAAATGAACCAATGCATATTCTCACCTACAAATGGGAGCTAAACACTGGGTACTCATTGACTTAAAGATGGCAGCAAGAGACACTGGGAACTGCTGGATGGGGAGGGAGGGTTGAAAAACTGTGTGTACTAGGCTTATACGCTCGTGACGAACCTGCACATGTGCCCGCCCAATCTAAAATACAAGTTGAAAGTTCATTTAAAAACCGGACAGGGCTGCATTTGGCTTGTGTGCCTGGAGCTTATTAGCCTCTGCTTTAGATATTAACTAACAGAAACTTAGTGCTTATCTTCCCAGGCCGCCTATTTTGTTGTTCTCTGAGGTGATGGATAGACAAAGGCTCGATCCAGCTGCCTGGATGTTTGCTGACACTTGTCCCGTCATGGATGAATGAAGCATCCTTTTCTGACGAAGCTTTCATGCTGCTGTGCTGATGCGTCTTCTCTTCCCTCTAGGCAGGAAACTGCGTATCTTCTGGTTTACATGAAGGCGGAATGCTAATGGATGTGCCCAAAACCTTCAGAGATGGACACACTGTCATTTTCCACTTCCATCCTGGATCTATGGAGCCTTCTAAGGGATTTCACAATGAGGAGAAGAATCGTTTTCCAACTATATAATTGAGCCTTATTTATAATCAGGGATATTATCAAAATATTTAACGCGGAAACCCTGAATGACCTGATCAGTCAGGATGGACGCTTTCACCAGCGGACCCGGCCATGTGGCTGCTGGGTCTTGGGTGCTCTCTGCTGTGGTCAGCCCTTTAGTTAGGAGCCTGTGGGAGGTCCAGGTGCTCCAGGGAGGAGAGCAGTGGCAGTGGGGGGCATCTGGATGCTAAGGGTCAGTGGCAGTGGGTATTTCAGTATTTCACAACTGCTGTGCCCAGACTTGTGTGTACCGGCTGAATATCAGTGCTGTTTGTAATTTCTCAGTTTTAGAACCAGTATTAATCCATATAAATCAAGCATTTTGTAACTGTTTGCAAATATTTATTGACAATCTGTTCTCCATAAGAGTGTGATAGCACAATAATGAATAAAGTTCTTTTCCACAGAGGAGTTTGTGGTTTAATGGGGGTCAGTAGGCCTTGTGCTATAGGAATTCAAAGGACAGGGAAGTCACTTCTGTTGTGGGGTCCTGGGAGGAGGCTCCAGGCTGGAAAGGCTTAGGGTGGAGACCCCGATAGGGATGGCGTAAGGAGTAGACTGGCTGCAAAAGGCCGTGCTCAGCATTTGGGAGCATCCACAGACTCAGCTCTTCTCCTCCAGGGGTGGGGAAGGCTGCGGATGGGAAGGCAGGTGGAGCTCAGCACATGGAGGCATCCAGCAAGGCTTGGAAGCTTGCACCTGAGCTGGTGGGTGGTGAGGAAGCCCTGAAGGGGCGTGAGAAGGAGAGGAGCGCTCAGTTGTGTTCTGCTGACATCGATCTGCTGCTGGGGTTAGAGACAAAGCCATCACAGTCACTAGCGTCACTTTGGGGAAAGAGTGGACGTGGCTGGTGAGAGAACAGGGGCCCAGGGAGAGCCCAGCACCAACCTGGGAGGTGAGCCCCCTGGGTGTGAGCACCCCCACTTTACAGATGACGTGATGGAGACATTCAGATGTTGAACTGTTGTTCAAGATTCCTCACTTGATAAGCGGCAGACCAAACTCCTAACTGAAGATGTAGGTCATTTCTTTACTGTTTTATTTGTGTTGTTAACAATGATTAGCCATATAAGAGTAAATTATTGTAAAATCTTCAGACAACGTAGATGAGGAGGGAATCCCTTCCTTGGAGCTTGCCCTTGTCAGACGGCTGGATGAGTGTCCTGGGGCGTCCAGAACTAACTGCCAGGGACTGGGTTTCTTGCGATGACAGAAACGCATGGTGTCCCAGCGCCAGAGGCTGGAAGCCCACATTCGAGGGGTACAAAGGGCTGGCTCCTGAGGCTCCGGAGGAGGCCGGTTCCCTGCCTCTCAGCTTCTGCTGCTTGCCAGCAGTTGTCGTTCATTCGCTTACCACTGTGTCACTCCAGCCCCACCTCCGCCTGCACGCGGCCTTCTCTTTTCTTTGCAGAGATGAGGTCTTGCTCTGTTGCCCAGGCTGGAGTGCGGTGGTGCGATCATGGCTCACTGCAGCCTTGAACTCCTGTGCTCAAGTGATTCTCTTGCCTCAGCTTTCTTAGTAGCTGAGACTACAGGCACATGCCACCATGCCAGCCTACTTTAAGTTTTGTTTATTTTTGTAGAGATGGAATCTCAGTATTCCTCAGGGTGGTCTTGAACTCCTGGCCTCAAGCAGTCCTCCTGCCTCAATCTTCCGGAGTGCTGGGATTGCAGGTGTGAGCCACCGTGCCTGGCCAGTTCTGGTTATATCTACACAGGCATCAATCAGTCCTCAGGGCTCAGCAGCCTCCAAGGACATGATAGATGAGGAAGGACGTGATGGCCCCATCCGTGCCAGCCCAGGATCTAGGGTGTCTGTGGTCTGAGAGCTTCTGGGTGGTCACTGGGTCCATTCAGCCTCAAGCCCAGCTCCACTGAGCAGCTCCGAGTGAGGTTGCCTTCCCTCCAACTGCTCGTGTCAGTCTCTGGGACTGTCCTCTCCCGAGGCTCAGAGGAATGAGGTCTCTCCTCACCCCAAGGCCATCTGCTGCTCATGCCCAGACTTCAGTGGGCCTGAGGACACTTGGAGATGAGGGACATTCTCACATGAAGACCCATGCTGCAGAGTACTGATGGAGGATTAGGGATTCATGCAGGGGCCCTGTCCCCCCTCTGGGAACATGGGCCAGCTGAACTGATCTGGGGCGGCAGGACCCCTCTTTTGTTGGGGGACAGTTCAGCTGGTTGGGATTGTCATTGACCATGGTGACAGGATTAGGTTGGGTATCACAGAGGCCCTGGACCCTTAGGTGTGTGGGGAGCTTTGCTGAAAGCACAGAGTTCATGGCTTCATCCCCACCCCCCGTTTTGGGTTTTCAGGTCCCCTGCAGGGCATCGTCTTTGTGGCTGGAGCAGCCTGGCTCTGTCCTCAGGCCCTGTCCTGCACAGGGTCATTGTGGGAATACTGGGCTCATGCCCATCACAGAAGGGACTCCTTTGGGGCCCGGATGCAAACTAGACCATCCCAAGGAGGCTGTCACCATTTTGGTGACACTTTCCAGGGTGGCCTGGTGGTGTCAGGCTCCTGGTCAGGAGGGTGAGCTTCCCTCCGCCTCAGCCATTCACCTTGGACTGAGGAAGGCAAGTGGGGTTGACACAGGGGTGACTTCTAATGAATGGGGAGGCTGCATTTGTTCCTCAGCCTGAGGCTGTCAAGAAGAATGAGGTCGGAACACTCCGCCTGTGCCTCTCTCCCTGCTTGCCTCCTCCAGGCAGCCCGGGGCTGTCGCGGTGCGCAGGTGCCGAGCCCTGCCTCGCCGGCCATGGGGCGCCGTGGGGCGCTGGTGGTGGCGAGGGCGCGGGGCGGTCGCCATGGGCCTGGTAGGGCTGCAGGAAGAGAACGCGGTTACACATCACAAAGTCAAATGCCAGGGGAAACCATTAGCCGGAATCTACAGGAAACCAGAAGAGAAAAGAAATGCTGGGAACGCAGCACGGAGCGCCGTGAAGTCCGAGGAACAGAAGATGAAAGATGCCAGGGGAGGTCCCCTGGCACCTTTTCCAAACCAAAAATCAGAAGCAGCAGAACCTCCAAAAACTCCACCCTCGTCTTGTCATTCCGCCAATGCAGCCGTCGCCAAAAAAAGCCCATCAAGGGCAAACAGGCCCACCCCAAAAAAAAGCTCAAGGAAAAAAACGCAACAGAATTGCAGACTTAAGGATTTCTACCCTGTCTGAAGGAGCTCCAGGAAGAGTAACACTGAACTGCAGCCTGAAGAACGAAAAAGAATAGATGAATTGATTGAAAGTGGGAAGGAAGAAGGAATGAAGATTGACCTCATCGATGGCAAAGGCAGGGGTGTGATTGCCACCAAGCAGTTCTCCCGGGGTGACTTTGTGGTGGAAGACCACGGGGACCTCACTGAGATCACTGACACCAAGAAGCGGGAGACTCTGTGCCCACAGGACCCTTCCACGGGCTGCTACATGTACTATTTTCAGTATCTGAGCAAAGCCTCCTGCTTGGATGCAACTAGAGAGACAAATCGCCTAGGAAGACTGATCAATCACAGCAAAGGTGGGAACTGCCAAACCAAACTGCACGACATCCACGGTGTACCTCACCTCATCCTCATGGCCTCCCAAGATCGCGGCTGGGGAGGAGCTCCTGTATGACTATGGGGACCGCAGCAAGGCTTCCACTGAAGCCCACCCGTGGCTGAAACATTAACCAGCGGACCCTGCGCCCTCCCACCCCACTGTCCCTTCTCCAAAGCACAAAGTGCCCTCAAAGGGAATTGATTTTTTTTATCACACACTTAATCTTAGCAGATTACTTCAGATGTTTTTAAAAAGTATACTAAGATGCCTTTTCACTGTAGTATTTAAATATCTGTTATAGGCTTCCAAGGTGAACTTGAACGGATGGCCTTATATTACCAAAACTTTTATGTTCCAGTTGTTTTTGTACTGTTTTTGCATACAAGTCGAATGTTTGTGCTTCCCGTGCATGCAGTCCAAGACTCAGCACAGGTTTTAGAGGAAACAGTCAAACATGAACTAGGAAGCCAGGGGAGCCTCCTTTCTCCAGTGGAAGGGCTGGGACCTTCCCCCTGCACCCCGACGGCACCCCGAGGAAGATGCTGCCTCCCAAGGACCTGGATGGGATGTTTCCAAGCTCTTGTTCTCCTAACGTCTCCACAGGCGCTCATTGAAGTGTATGAATATTTTTAAAACGGTTTCGCAGTAAGCTAGTCTTCCCCTCTGCTTTCTTGAAAGCTTCCTGAGCCCCAGGCCCTGAGCACAGGCCAGGCATGGATTTCCTCTTCCCTAAGCTGCCGCTTTTCTGGGCACCTTGAATCACAAGGGCACGAAATCAAACTAGATGTGGGCAGGGAGAGTGTTGATTACCTGCCCTGCCGGGACAGGGTTTCCTGAAACTGGGTTAATTCTTTACAGAAATATGAACACTGAATTTATTTAAAAAATAATAAAAATTAAAAAAAATCAAAAAGAAAAAAGATTTAAAAAAATCACAGAAAACAACTTACATGTATATAAGTCTTGAAGTGAGTGAAGTGGCCTTTTTTTTTTTTTTTTTGGCTTCTTGTAGAAGAGATTGAGAATGGTACTCATCAAAAATAAAGTTTTGTAGTGGGACCAGAAATTACTTACCTAACATCCACCCCCATTTCCCCACATCCTTCTGGCGTTGAAAGTTCCAGACCTGCCGTCGAAGGCTTGTGTCTCACAGACACCTGGCGGCCCTCCTGTAAGGCCGCAGCCGTGAGCTGAGGCGTGAGCCTAGGAGCCCAGGACCCCTGACCCCAGCCACTGCTGCCAGCTTCAGAAAGGCGCCCAGGTGTGCAGGGGAGCGCATAGGACCCGGCAGCCCCCAGGAATCAAGGACAGGGCTAAGGTTTTCACCTTGACTGTGAGGGTAGGAGGAATAAGTGGCTGCCTCCTCCCTCCATTCACAGAACTGATTCTCACTCACTGTTCCTAGTCCAGGAGGCCAGGGCTCAGGAGCCGTGACCTGGTGTCTCCTGCCCACCCTGGTCCCAGGTAAATGTGAATGGAGACAGGTATGAGAGCCTGTCCTCATCTTTGATGCCCCCCACCCCACCCCAGGCCTCACGACGGTGCTACCTAAGAAAGTCTTCCCTCCCCCTCCCCCCCAACGCTAGCCTGGTCAGTTGTCAGTGAATTGGACGAGGATCCCACAGGAGTATAAATGTGAGATATATGTCTTGATTGTGCCTGTTTGTGGTTTCACTTTGTATTTAAACAAACAAGGAAATAAACTTGAAAATTATTTGTCATAAAAATGAAGCAAAAATTAAAATATCTATTGCCAGGCCAAAAAAAAAAAAAAAAAAAGAAGAAGAAGAATGA